TTGCATTATTGATGTCACATTCATATGTCTTGAAATATTTAATTGCTGCAAATGCAGCAGATGTAGTGACACATTATAATAAAGTCTAATTAAAAACTTGACATTCCTGTTATTTTATTCTGGTCCATCAGACTTCTTGGAAGCATGCCTTAAAGCAAGTATGTTCAACAACAGCAATATTTCCTTCACCTTTTTTGCAGGTCAGACTTCAACACTGCCTCATCTGACTGTCTGCTTTTCTCGAGAGCTGATGACGTTCCGTTGTCAGTGGGAGACTGGATCCCTCCAGATTCACACAGAACTCGAGGATCTGAGTCTTTTCTACATATTAGAAAAGTAATTAGTAACACATAACATCATAGAATGAAATGCACTATTGATACATAAAAAATGCACGATGTTCAGAATTATTTGTTAACACAATTCTTTTGCACCTGCAAGTAAAGAGAATGAATACAAGTTACAATCAGTGAAGCAGTTAAGTTGTTAGACAAATGACTGTTCTTCTACTTAATGATCACCAATTTCCCATGTCTGCAGGGATTCTGAGAAATGGATGGAATGTCCAAGTTACAGTTCCATAAGGAAAAATGAATGCTACTTTGATTCCAGTAATACCATTATATGGTTCCCTTACGTGGTGCAGCTGCGTTCCCGCTCTCTTGACGTTGTTTATGATGAAATGTCCTTCAACGTGGAGGACATTGGTAAGCCATGTCGTAAACACACATCCTGACTCTTTGTTTTCTTCTTTCTTGGCATGCCTTCAAGTGCACATTCCCATGTGGCAAAATGGTTTTCAAAATATTTTCACATATATTTTTAAATATTTCAGAATATACTAAAATATATTGCTAATATAGATTCTGATAAATATATTTTCAATAAGTTTTAGTTACCTATTCATGTTTTTTGCCCATTTTTTCGAAATATATTTTCATTTATATTTAAATATATTTTTCATAATACATTTTGCATTAACCCGAAATGTAGCATTTTGAGATATGTTCTTGCCCCTTAATGGTAATGTACTGTAATGTATTTTGTAATATAATATATTTTGGCATTTGAAGGATATATATACAGTGGGTACGGAAAGTATTCAGACCCCCTTCAATTTTTCACTCTTTGTTATATTGCAGCCATTTGCTAAAATCATTTAAGTTAATTTTTTTTCCTCATTAATGTACACACAGCACCCCATATTGACAGAAAAACACAGACACACACACACAAACATGTATATATATATAATTTTTCTCCCCTGAATGGAATGATGCTCTCAAAAACGCTAAGCATTCCCACCATCCTTGCAAATAACTTAATCACTTCCATTGCGTTAATGCGCAAAATATTTGCAAGCATATTGATGTTCATTATTTTCTCAGTGTTTCCAGACCCACCTGTGGGACTGAACTGGACTCTTTTGAGCATGGGCTCTACTGGCTTAATCTATGATGTGGTTGTGAGCTGGGATCCACCCCCATCTGCTGCAGAGAATATGAAGACAGGATGGATCTTGCTGGTATACGAGACACAGTACAGAGAAAAGGGTTCAGACCAGTGGAACTCGGTGAGTCTCACACAACGTTGTGCAATCAGCACCACCAGATTTCTAATAAGCTCCTAATGAGAAACAGACATGAAGTCAAATGTTTTTCTTGAGGAGTTCCTCTGAAGCTTTATTAAAAGTGATTTCTTTTAAGAACACTTGAGTCATTACATTTGATTCACCATGTTGAAGACTGTGACCTGGATTTTGCAGCCATAATTAGATGTGTTTGGAGCTCATTATCTTCAAGGTTGGAGTGTTATTATGTGTCTTATTCTTGTTTGTCTCTCTACAGCTGGATAATGACAAAGACACACAGGCATACGTCTATGGTCTGCGCAGCAACATTGAATATGAAGTCAGAGTCAGGTCAAAAATGAGAAGCTACAACAACTTTGGTGTCTTCAGTGACTCCATCTTTATACTTATTCCTAACATAGGTCTGATTTAAGATCTACCTGTCTGTAGATTTTGGAAGGAAGTTATTTAATTTTTTTTTCAATTGATTGATGATTTGAATGTCCTGTTTCAATTTCAGAATCAAGAATTCCTATAACAGCTGTGTTGGTCTTCGCTGCCGTTGGTATCGCAATTATTTTGATGCTGGTTGTAGTTTCACGTCAACAAAAGTAAGTACCTGCTCTGTTATATAACCGTGTAAAGGAAATCTGTCAGCATTATGTATGAATACAATGATTTCCTGTGATATATCTACATAACCCCTCATTAGTTTCCTCCGTCCTTTCCCTTCCCTGCTGTACTTTTAATGTTCTACTGCATTCATTATTGTTTATTGCATTTCAAATAAATTCCACAATATATTACCATTTAATTCCACTTTACTGTACTGTACTAAATTCATGACCTGAAAGTTATGAAGAAAAAAAAATTATATATATATATATTTGTCTTTTCAAAACTTCTAATCGCATAGTTATCGACTTAATTGTGGCTTGTTATAGGTTAATGGTGATTTTCCTGCCGCCAGTCCCTGGACCAAAAATCAAAGGAATTGATCCTATGCTTTTACAGGTATTTGACTTCACATCCATTTTTGTAGGACTTTGACGGTATTTTCTACAAATTAAAGCTTTTCTATTTGGTTTGTTTCTTCACAGAAAGGTCAGCTGAGTGAATTCACGTCAATCTTAGGCACCCAGCCGGGCTTGCGGCGAGAACTGTACAGCAACGATCCATGGGTAGAGTTCATAGAAGTGGACATCGACGAACCGCATGAGAGCCAGGAGGAGCTCCTTGTCGCTGATTCTCCAGTCTCTGATTCGCCTCAAATGTCCAGTAGTTTCAGGGATGATGACTCGGGTCGGGCTAGCTGCTGTGATCCGGACCTGTCAGATCATGATCAAACGGATCTACATCACCCTTCAGCCAGCAACCACGATGGTTTCCACCCATTGTCATGCACACAATCTGGGCCAGAGCAACCTGCGGCTGTCTGTCCACAAGACACTACCTGGTCAAACAGCCTTTACTCACAAGTGAGAGATGTCACTCAGCGTGGTGAAGTTGTGCTTTCTCCTGAAGAGCAAGAAACAATGGCTCTGAAGGATAAAGAACACAATAAGAGGAAAAAAATCCAACAGTTGGTAGTGATTCCTGACGAAAGAGGCTACACCTCTGAGTTTGTTGCCAGCACAATCAGCACCCACCACAATAAACCAAACCCACCGGCAGACCAATCACAGAGTCAAGAACAACACGGTGCATTCAGGGACCTTCAAATCCTGAGCACTGAAACGGTTACGTCGCCACAGTCCACTGCATTTCCCATCCTTGCAATGCCTACCAGTCCGGAGTACACCATGGTAGATGGCGTGGACTGGAAAAACAGTCTCCTCCTGAAACCTAATACACCAACTGCCCCACAGAAGGCAGCAGTGAAGACTTTGCCCACTCCTGAAGGGTACTTGACTCCTGATGTACTCGATAACATTACACCTTAACTAAAAGTGGAGTACGTTTGCTCTTTGTGAGATATCTGAAATGGTTAGCCAACACCAAACATGATGTGTCATCCATGAGGAGGGAATTTTGAAACGAAGTCAGTTCTCAAGCGTTCTCCAGTGGAATGGAAGTCATGAAACAAATCTATTGGCAAGCTAATAAATGGCTTTATTAGGCCTAGAATCTTTTCTTTATTCTCCTAATTTGGAGGGTTAACAGCTTCAGGGGTTAGTGTGAGCAGATATGGAGCAGAAGTATATTAGCTGGTTGTTTACTGTCATAAAAAGATAGCAACTGATATTTTATGCTCTCACATGTTGTGTAACAGCTATATTGCTCTATTACCGCTCCATATTGTATGCACTTGTATTATTTGTTTTCACTGAACTAACTACCAACTACGTCTGTGTAAACTGTAAAGTGCCTACTTTAGATTATATTTCAACAGCAGTGTTAAAAATAGTGCACATTTAAATCAAAAGGGGTTTATGTGAATTGTTACAGGCTCTTGTCCTCAGTGCCATTTTTTTCCATAAAAGACTGGACAGGCTTTTGTGCCACAGTGATGTAAATATGGTCTTTTTTTTCCCTTTTCTTGTAACAAGTGTTCTTAGCTGAAACACACACACACACACATACACACAAACACATATAAATGGCTTTTTTTTTTGTCAGCTGGGTTTGTCAACTCATTGCTATGTTTTAGACTTGGTTCAGTATTGCTTATCAGTGCACAATGTTTTTAAAGCTATAATGTGACTATAATGTGCATAGTACATACGAGGTCTCTAAATAAATGGCAGCAATGAACTTAATGCTTTTGCACTCTGTCACCTGTGCTACTTCCGGGAATCACGTGCTTGATATTTCGAAGAAAGGATTTTTCCCACATGCTCCTTTCCAGGTGTTGATCTTGGAAACAAACATACTGTGAATATCCGTAGTTTACTATATACATTGTTTACTTACAGTACATTTATCTTAAAAGCGAGGAAGCGTTAGTTACTTATTAATTGTTGCCTAACTTAGTTAGACTCAAGATGAAAAAGCTCACTGTCGTCGACTTGACTACACTTGTCAAAGATTTTCTCCAACTGGAGCATGTAAGGCCTTTAAATGTATATTTAAGATATTAAAATAGGCCTTGTAAAGAACGTGTCGTTATAAAAGCTGTGTACTAATGTTCTGAGGTAAATTACTGTTTTGTATGATTAAGAAAATTACGGAGATGAAAGGGGAAAATAATACTCTTGAAATAGAGCTGGACGAGACTAGCAGACTTCTAAAAATCGCACAGAACAAAGAGAAACAGTTAATTGAAGGTAAGAATATGAAGTAAAAAAGAAGGTTTACCACAGAAGTGGGTCAGACTAATCTCGGCTGCCATCTAGTGGTGTAATTGCAGAAAAAAAAGCTTTACACCTTTAATTTGTGTTTAGGTTTTATATTTCTATTTCCATATTTGAATTGTAATAAAGTAATTCGGACGCAGAAAGAAAAGTTATTCGTTAATTGTTTCGGTATATAATAATGTTGTTCGACATGGTTTTGTTTTCTTCACGGAGAGAGATGGGCTTTTGGAAACTCAAAGGTCTACAACAAACCTTACAACAACAGTGCGACCTCAGAGGTAGAGAAATCGTATTAAAGGAGTAGTTCACTTCCAGAATGAAAATTCTGTCATCATTTACTCACTCCTT